TGGTTCGCATTTGCGAACACTGAACAAAAATGAGGGCATCGCATTCGCGACAATGATGTCGCATTTGCGGTATACCAGGCTTCGTATTTGCGAGCCAAAATGTCGCATTTGCGACTGGCTCAACATCGCATTTGCGAACCAGATGGCCGCATTTGCGACCCATGCAGGATTCCCCCTTCTCGCATTTGCGATCATAGGCTCGCATTTGCGAGATCGCATTTGCGAGACCTTCTTCGCATATGCGAAGATTGCAGAACTGAAATGCCAGATTTTCTGAAAGGTTAAAAATGCATCCGTGGCCTATCCAAAACTCACCCGAGCCCTCGGGGTTCCAAACCAAACACACACACAACCTCAAAACATCTTACGGACTTATTCGTGCGATCAAATCGCTAATATAACATCATAAACATCAAATTAAGCCTCAAAATCCATGATTTCTTCCAAATTTCATAAAACATCAAACTTTCCATTTTAAGTCTGAAACACGTCAAACGACGTTCGTTTTCAACCAAACTTTACAGAAAGCGCTTAAACCATATATAAGACCTGTACCGGGCGCCGGAACCAAAATACGGGCCGGTACCAACTCGTTCTAATCAAATTTCATTTTCAATTCCTTTAATTATTTTCAGAAAACAATTTTACTCAAAAATTGATTTCTCGGGCTTGGGGCCTCAGAATTCGATTCCGGGCATACGCCCAAGTCCCATATTTTTCTACGGACCCTCCGGGACCGTCAAATCACGGGTCCGGGTCTGTTTATCCAAAATATTGATCGAAGTCAAATTTACTCATTTTAATATCAAAATTTAGCATATTTCACAGAATTTCATATTTAAGCTTTCCGGCTACGCGTCCGGAATGCGCACGCAAAACGAGGCGACTATAAATGAGGGTTTTCAAGGCCTCGGAAGCACAGAATAGGTAAGAAAATAGGTGATGACCCTTTGGGTCGTCACAAAAAGAGGTGTGAATGGAAAATGGTGGAAAAAGAAATAGAGGGAAGTGAAATTTTGAATGAGTTCATTTCATTTATGCACTTTGTCCCTCATTGGTAGAAGGAAAGAAAATCTTTGTGTATATATAGAGAAGCTGATCTTTTAGCTTTTAAAGAATTAAGAAGAAGGCAAGCCTCGCGCCGTCGTCGTCGTCGCTCGCTCGACTCGGCTTCGGCTTCGGCTTCGGCTTCGGCTTCGGACTCGGATTCGGATTCGTATTCGGATTCGGATTTGGATTTGGATTTGGATTTGGTTAAAGATCGATTGATTGATTAATCTTTTTGGACAAAATTCTTTTCAAATATTTCCATTTTCTTTCCCGGATTATTTTAAATCCGTTTTAATTTTCCCGCAATATTTCCAACAGCTATGGCTGTTCTGAAACAGTGTCAAACCTGTTCCAATAGCCATGGCTGTTCTTAAAGGTTGCAAACCTTTTCAGAAACAGTACCAAATTGGCTATAAATATTCTTTCAAATCCCAGAATATTTACTTACGAAATTTTCTGATAATTTTCTTCTTCTTCTGCACAAAAATTCCAGTGTGTTTTACAGCCTTTGAGTGGTTCGCTGTTCATCGGCGTTTTTGGTACCAACACTCCGGTGAGTTAAATCGTTCTATCTTGGAAGGATATATTCCAGAACCTCGGGTACTTGAGGAGAATAATTTCCTTAAGGACACACTGTGTATTCAGTGGGATCGATTTGTTCCTATACCGTTTTCAAAATTTATTTTGAAGTTCAAATACTGTTTTCAGAATTTATTTCTACTAACTTTCTGTTTCTGTTTTCAGAAAGATTATTGTTTTTATTTATTTACAGCAATACAGATATATAACAGTTTTAACTTGTGCCCGCTTTGTAAAAAAAATTACAAGCGTACCCACTTTTTCGCGTAACTTCAGCATACGGGGCTGAAGTAGCAAAGGCAATTACGCAAAACTTCAGCATTCTAGTAGACGGGGCTGAAGTTTTTTTGTCCTGGATAAGATGCTGAAGTTATTTAGTTCATTTTTAAAAACTTCAGCACTAAAATAGCTGAAGTTTTTTTTTTGTCCTGAGTTCATTAGTTTTGTCATAAAACTTTTTCAAAAACTTCAGCAGAAGATGCTGAAGTTATTTAGTTCATTTGTAAAAACTTCAGCACTAAATAAGCTGAAGTTTTTTTGTTCTGGATAAGCTTTTTCAAAACATCAGCAGAAGATGCTGAAGTTATTTAGTTCATTTGTAAAAGCTTCAGCACTATATAAGCTAAAGTTTTTTTGTCCTGCATTCATTAGTTTTGTCATAAAGCTTTTTCAAAAACTTAGCAGAAGATGCTGAAGTTATTTAGTTCATTTGTAAAAACTTCAGCACTATATAAGCTGAAGTTTTTGAAAAAGCTTTCTAACATACTAGATAAATAATCACCTTATTCTTTCATAGTGTATTACTACTATAAAATAATCAAATTGCCAACAATATCTAAATCATAAATGTTGGAAACAATAAACGTCAAAAGAACAGAATTACGTAGAAATATTCACAAATTATTGTCTACTAACTTACGTAATTATTTATAATTTATTTTTAAATAATCTGATAAACATACTTATGGCAATCATCCCATGAACTGAAGCTTCATAGTAGCACCAACAGCAGAAGAAGAAGAAGAAGAAGAAGAAGAAGAAGAAGAAGAAGAAGAAGAAGAAGAAGAAGAAAACGAAGGAGGAGAAGGAGGAGGAGAAAGGGGGCTGAAGTTGTTTAAAAAGTGGGTACAAGTTAAAACTTTTAAAAAAAAATGGGTATAGGTTAAATGGGGGCGACCAAATAGGGCGCCCCGTGCAATTTTTACACTGAAATCAGGGGCGGCTCTAAAGCTTGGCGGGTGAGGCCATTGCCTTAGGCCCCAAAATTTGAAGGCCCGAAATTTACTTAATCTCTTATTATTATGACTACTATATACTATAGAATTTATATAAATAATAATTATAAAGAAAAGTGTTATAGAATATTGTTTTTGTTATTTGATTGACGTTATTTTATACCAATAAGTTCATAAGTTATGATAATTTTCTCACTCATTAATTAGTATATTTGCTTCACTATTCACTTTTAATTTTATCCTTTTTATATAGAATTAAGATATATACCGACATATATTGAATTTCTTTTACAATTTTCTTTGAAACTACATGAACAGAAAAGCATTCACGCACCGATTTTCTTTTAATGTAATTCAACATATTATAATAGGTTATTTATAATTAATTTTAGATATTCACCAATAAGTGCTACGAATTAATAGAATGAACTACAATTATCGTTTAAATTGATCAGAATAAGTAAATATTTTTTGACACTGTCAATGCTCAAAACTTAAGTTATTACGTTATGTACGTTTATTTCTTTTTCTTGATTGTGATGGTAGCCATATCAAAAATTTCACTTTGAGTTATGGACCTCAACATCCGATAATCCACCACTTTATTCTTTGTGCTCTTCTTCCTTTTTTTATTTATTTTTAAATTCCCTATTTTTTTGTCTTAAATGATTAATTTGTTGTTTAGAAAGCAAATTTTATTGTTTGTTTAAAAATTTTATAAAATAAATTTAAGGGCCTTTCAATATGATTTCGCTTTAGGCCACAAGATCTGTTGAGCCGCCCCTAGCTGGAGTCCATGGATGGATTTTCATGATGTATCCTCAAAACCGTGAAATTCATTTTCCAAGAAAGCAAAGATAGACAGCGTGAAACTGGTCATTTTTTGTGTTGCTTTGGGCACCATTATAGGATTTTAGATATGCTTGACTGATAGACTGGTAGTCTGCAAATTACATTTTTCAATCATTCCCGAAGATGGATTCATATCGTCGACCCCAACTTGTTTGGGATTGAGACATAGTTAATTGATTGATTGAAACATTCCAGATTGTCCTCCTCTCCCCACTCTCAATCATCTTTGGTGTAATTCTTGTATAGAATTGAAGTGTTTGGAATCTCATGGTGTTAGCTCCAGTTGGTAATTTTACCTCTTTGTTCCACCAAGAATTTGGAGGAGCAAGACAACGATCTGAAGTGCATTTCTTAGAATGTCAAACATGGTATATAGAACTGTTCTATGAAATGTCAATATAGAATATTTCGCAGTCATATCTTTTGTTGTCAAAAGATTAAAAGGCAGCCTCTACTTTGATTGATTCGCCAAAGAGTAAAATTCGTTTTGCTTGTCCATAAACTGAGAAAGCTAAGGGATTATGCTTTTGAGATATGGATATGCCTTTGATCCAAAGGCTTCAATGTTTGAAATTGGTGATAGAGGTACACTCAAATGCCTTTGATCCAAAGGCTTCAAGCAGACTTGAGAATATCAAAATACAGTGTTTTACTCAGTTTGTTTTGTCATCATGTAATTTCAACTCCATAGACAATTGGTTATTGTTGACCCATCATTTAGGAATAAAGCTTGTACAAGTTGTAGCTAAAAAGCTGGATTAATGCAGGATGTGGGCGTATCTAGAATTTTAAGAATATGGGTGCACCATTATATTAATTAAAAAGGACATGTGGAATTAGGGATTTATTTATTTATTAATTATAAAACGAATTACTATATAGGTATCGAACCCCTGATTTAAGGGACAAAAGGGACACTTAGTCACCAGTGCACTTATATGGTGGTCATTTGAGAGCATGGATGGCCACAAATATATTTAGGTACATAATATGAAAAATTAGTACTAGTATTTATATATATAGCCTAGGGAGGGAGCTCGGGTGCATGTACCCCACCCCTCCACATAAATCCGCCCCTGGACGTGATATGCTAGATGTATCTCCTCGATTATTTACACTCTGAGCAAATCCTGTTCATACATTAGAACCGCCGCATCATGCTTTCCATTCATAGAAATCTCGTTCATATATTTACATAATAAAAATAAAAAGCTAGCAGAATCTGCGATCCATGTCCAATTTTGTAGAAACTTTAGTCACTTCAAAGTGCAAAAGAACAAGTGAGAAGATGGTGTACTATAATAATAATAATCTATTTAACAATGAAAAGTTGTGCTACAAACTTGACCAAAGAGACACACAGTAGTCACTCTAGAGTGACTACTGTAGTTTGGCAATTAGGACTGACCACAACACAGTTTATTCCACTATAATAACAAGGTACTATTATTCCTTAAAACACAATATATGCTGCTATTGTATGTATATAGGGTTTAATTAATGACCACAAGTGCAGTTCACACAGCTGCAGCTGCTGCCGCACTTGCATTTGCCATCATGTTCTGCTGCTCCGCCGTTCATCGCGGCTGTCTCGCTGTAGCTGCAAGAGAAAGATAAAAGAGATGAATCAAAATATAGGTGACTACTTGCATGAGACCATATCTTGATTTGCATCCTGTCATTCTTAAGAAGGGATTATGTAATCTTTTCTGGGTCGTTCCAATATTATTTAATGTCCTTTTGGGACGCATGAGATATATATAACAATTAGATGAAAAGAGGAGCTGGTAGGAGAGAGTTACCTCTTCTCAGTCTCGACAATGACGAGATTATACTGGTTTTCCTTCTTCCTGCAATATTTACAGACATATTGCCTTACATCAATATAAGCCAAAAGACAAGTATATTTAAAGTGCTAATCATATATTATCGAGACATTAGTAAAAATGAATAACTATCTCTTGATCGATGAGAGGCACGTAAAGATTTGACATTGCAATGCCACTACATTATTTTCGACTTGAATGGTGTAGTAAAATTACGATTTTCAAAATATATATAGATTCGCATGTGGTGGCATTTCATATGAAAGAGCAGCACGTTGCGCTAAGCTCATGGTATGCACGGTCCAGGCTACCTTGCATTGTCTCACACCAATCAACCTATAATCTTAAGTTCATGACCTCTATCTATTTTGAAATTGCAAAGGTTGTTTTTCTTAGACAAGATAAACGTAAATTCAACTAATATTTGAAGTAAAAAGATGATAGTAATTACTTACACACACTGGCTGGCGCTAGAGCAGTCGCAGTTGCCACACTTGTCCGACATGTTTAGGAGATTAAAGCCAACAATAAGATTTTAATAGAGTTTTACTTAAATAGGAGAAAGTGTCTGTTGTAAATTTGCTATGGCTTGAATCGAAACTATGAGATTGGGTTGCTATTTATAGATGGAAAGTAGGAAAGAACAAGTTGGCATAGGCCTAGAAAGGAGCACACACTTCTGAGAAAAGGTTGGAAAAAGGAATCTTCAAAATAGAAGGGGCTAAGGCTTGGTTTTTATCATCCTCTCGTGTCACTTTATGTTGTGCATTTCCCTTTTCGTGATCAAATTCAATACACAAAAGACTAGGGATTCTTTTTAGATAGAATTTAATTTATATACCTTGTCAGTATAAGTAATTTTTAGGGAAAGGACCAAAAAATGTCCTCCATTTAATTTTGGTCTCAAATATACCCTTATCTTGAGAGGATTTGCTGGTATTCCCCCCCCCCCCCCCCCAAGGTCAAATGAAGGGCAAATTTGGTCTATTTGTCATAGTTGAGGGGAAAATCTAAATTAATCCACTTATGATAAGGGCAATGTTTGGGACTAAATATAAAATAAGGATAAATTTGTTCTATTTCTCATAGTTAAAAGATATTCTTGACCCTTTTTCCTAAGTTTTACAGTAAAACTTTTACCTTTAGCTGCTTTAGCAAGGCTTTTTCCAAATTGGCTCGTTTTAACTAGAGGAAATGATCTTTTACTCCAACCTTTTATTTCATTTCATTTATATACCTAAGACTAGGAGGAAGTTAATACAAGGTCCCAAGGGGTCAATCCTATTCCCGGCATGTTAGCCATAGTGAATCCAATGATTAGGAGACTGTGATTTGAATTGTAACCTTATAACTGTTGCCATTTAGTTGAATTTTCTGTATTACATGTGACCAACCCGAATATTAAATAAAAATGAGGAAAAGAAATCAAAATAAGAGAAGTTGATTTAGCCCTCGTGGATTAACATGCAGATACTCAGCATTGAATTTTAGCAATTCACTACTGGCCGAAGATTAAGGACATGTATGAAGGTGCTAGGACTCGGGTGAGGATGGCGGGAGGAGACTAAGAACATTTCCATGTGGAGATGGGGTTGCATCAGGGATCAGCCCTTAGCCCGTTTTTGTTTGCCCTAGTGTTGGATGTGCTAACACGACACATACAAGGGAGGGTGCCATGGTGTATGTTATTTGCGTATGACATATAGTACTGATTGAAGAGACGCGTGGGGGTGCTAATGCTAGGTTGGAAGTTTGGAGACAGACGCTGAAGTCCAAAGGTTTCAAGTTGAGTAGGTCAAAAAATTGAATACATGGAGTGCAAGTTCAGTGATGAGAGGCATGAAGAAGAAGTGGAAGTAAAGATTGATACTCAAGTCATTCCCAAAAGAGATAGTTTCAAGTATCTTGGGTCCATAAACCAAGGCAACAGGGAGATTGACGAGGAAGTTACTCACCGCATTGGAGCGGGATGGATGAGATGGATGCTAGTTTTGGGTGTTTTATGAGATAAGAATGTGCTTCCTAGACTTAAGGGCAAATTTTACGGGGAGGTGGTTAGACCGGCTATGTTGTATGGAGCTGAGTATTGGTCCGTCAAGAAGTCCCATGTCCAGAAGATGAGCGTAGCTAAATGAGGATGTTGAGATGGATGTGTGAACATACCAGGAAAGACAAGATTAGGAATGAAGTTATTAGGGACAAGGTGGGACTAGCAGCCGTGGAAGACAAGCTGCGGGAATCGAGGTTACGATGATTTATGCATGTGAGGAGGAGAAACATAGATGCCCCGGTCAGAAGGTGTGAGAGGTGGACTATGGCTGGCTTGAGGAAGGGTAGTGGTAGGCCAAAGAAGTATTGGAGAGAGGTGATTAGGCAAGACATGTCAGTGCTTCACCTAACCGAGGACATGGCTAGCGATAGAAAGGTGTGGAGGTCGACGATTAAGGTGATGTGTTGACCGATAGTTGTGAGTTCTCCTAGGGTGACCAGTAGTACTAGTAATAGTCTTGTTGTCGGTCGAAAGATACTTTCTTCTTGTTTGTTATTATGTCTGGTACTTAGCGGCCAAGTTTATTATTTTTGTAAATTGCTACTGGAAATTGTTGCTCCATGATTGTTACTATTTGATGCTAATTTTTTTCTCGACTTTTACTAGAATTGCTGCTCCCTGATTGATACTATTTGATGCTACTATTTCCCTGCCTTTGCTTTCTATATCGCCCTTTGGCTCCTTCTTCTTTCTTTCTTCCCCATATTTCTTCTTCTTCTTCGCCCTTTTCTTCCTCTCTACACTTTCTTGAGTCGAGGGTCTATCGGAAACAACCTCTCTACCTCTCCAGGTAGGGTTAAGGTCTGCGTACACATTACCCTTCGCAGACCCCACATGTGGAATTATACTGGGTATGTCGTTGTTGTTGTACTATTGGCCGAAGATGTCGTTTGAACGCAACATATGTGCTGCCAAAATTAGCCTTAGAAAATCAAAAAGTTCTATAATTTGTCTCAATATTATCTTGATTCCAGCTGAAAATTCAATCTTGAGTATGGACTAGTGAAAAGAATGTCCACGTGAGAAGAAGTTCCATAGATATTTTGGTGGCAAATGGAAACTTGCTTATTTTCTTGGTTAGAGTTAGAAGTTAAAAACGTAAATGATTAAAATGTCTATGAGAGACTACACTAACAAGGACCTCATGCTTTAGTTACTTTCTCCTTCACTTTCACTGAACGTGGTAAATTTGGCGGATATATAATATAAATATATTAATCTATATATATTATGTATATAAAATATATAACTTGTTTATATTGACTATAAAAAGTAAACTATGAATATGGCAAAATATTTTTGTAAAAATTCCTTTTTACTTCACAAACATTGTGTTATTTCAATAGCAAAATTAATGGTTGTCCTATAATGATCTCCCTTAACCTTCTAGTCTCCAGATTCTTGGAACGCTACGTGAAGAATCAAAACATCGAAACAGTTGCTTTCACCTTTTTAATTATACACAGGAGATAAAGGAAGGAGATTACTATGTCAGAAAGAAAAAAATTTTTTGATTCGATGGTCCTGAACTATCCACTGAAATTTATCATTCATTTGGAAACGATATTAAGCATTTGTATCCACATTGAATATATGGAAAATTCTAATACTCTATTTTCTATTTTGTCATTTGGTGATAAATCTTTTTATGTGACGATAGTATATAGGAAATTTCCTGTCATCACTGGCAAACAGTGGCGTAATCAGGAGTGCCGATTAGAGGTCTCAAAAACTGAAAAATGTTATTTATAGCTAGAGGTTTCTGATTCTTATGTTACAAATTCTAGGACAAGTTACATATTTGGTAAGTTAAAAATAATGATATTTTCTAGCTAGATATAAAAAATAATTATGCTAATTAAATATAATATACCTATAACGATCAAATCGATTGTTTTGCGTATTTGAATCCTATTTCCCTTTTGATACTTCACACATGTGTATTTGTGGTTCTATGACTTATGGGGATCGTTAGTTTTGTTCCGGGAAGGTTTTGGGTTGATTTGGACCCTTTGGTTCTTAGTTTAAAAGCTTAAGTTAGAAATGTTATCCGAAATTAAACTTTTATGAAAACGAACTCGGAACGGTATTTTGATGGCCCCGATAGGTTTGTATCGTGATTTTGGATTTGGACGTATGCCCGGAATCGATTTCGGAGGTCCTTAGGTTGATTTGACTTGTTTTGCCGAAAATTGGCAATTTGACCGTAGGTTGACTTTATGGCTATCGGGTTCGGAATTTAGTTTTGGAACTTGAAATAGGTCCGCTTTGCTATTTGAAACTTGTCTGCAAAATCTGGTGTAATTCAGAGTTCGTCTGATAAGATTCAAACCGCTTGATTACAATTCTAGAGGTTCTTAAGTTTTTTTTTTTTTTTTTTTTTGAAATTCATGCTTTTTGATGTCCAATTCATGGTTCTAGATGTTATTTTGGTATTTTGATCACGCGAGCTAATTCGTATGATATTTTTAGACTTGTGTAGATTTTCGGTTTGGAGTCCCGAGGGCTCGTGTGAGTTTCGGACGTGTTTTAGAATAGTTTTAAGGTGGATCATGTTTGCTGGTGTGCTGACGTCTCAGGTGTTGCAATTGCGAGTACCAGCATCGCTATTGCGATCTTAGCAGGGGTTCTCAGGTGTCGCATTTGTGATACCTGGATCGCAATTGCGAAGTAGTACCTAGGCTAGGTAGTTTTGCATTTCCGACCATTTGGCTGCATTTGCGATGGGAGCAGTCGCATTTGTGACTTCCCAATTAGGCTGTCAGGGCTGCAATTACGAGTTCATCTTTGCAATTGCGAGGATTGTTGCAATTGCAACATCTGAGCTGAACAAAAGGGCTGGGAAGTTGGGATTTGATCTCATTTCTCTCATTTTAGAATTCTAGACTCGGTATGAGGCGATTTGGAGAGAGAATTTTCACCTACAATCATGGGTAAGTAATTTTGATCACTTTTCAATTATATTACATGATTATATGTGAGATTTAACATCAAATTCATGAGAATCTAAGAGAAACTTTTGGAATTTTTGTCTATGTTTTGAAAAATAAGAATTTGGTATTTGAGAGTCGAATTGGACTCAGATTTGAAAATAGAATACATACATGGACTCGTGGTATTATGAGTAGTCAAGATCTACCACTGGACTCGGGTTTTAACTGGGCGGTCCCGGGGTTAACTTTTGTTTACTTTTGAAAAATTGTGTAAAGATCTTAGCTTTATTAATCGAAATCCATTTCTCTTGCATTGTTTGACGATACTAAGTCGTTTTTTGTTAGATTTGAGCCGTGCAGAGGTAAATTTTAAGGAAAAAGCTATTTTTGAGTGTTGATTTGGCCTGGTTGAGATAAGTATCTTGCCTAATTTTATGTAAGGGAAACTACCCGTTAGGATTGGATTTTATTGTACTAGTTAAATTATGTGGACAAGAACTGGCTGCATGACCATGAACAAAGATTAGTGTTCTAATATAATCACAAAGGCACTGAATGAGACTCATTTTAAAAGGAACTGCTTGGAACTTATGGTGTTAAAGAGAATTAAGTAATGAAGGTTCTTGA